CCCTTCCAGAAAACACCAGTTCTCCTTTCCTTGTTGTAGCTGGCGTGAAGAGCCCAGACCCATCCCATCCCCAAGCAATGGCTGTATGGGCCTTGTCTAGGAGGTTTGCCCGTAGGAGCATGGCCCGGCTGGCTCTGTGCTGGCAGTCTCCCTAAAGGAAGCAAGCAGATTCCTGCCATGAGCATCAGCTTCTCCCTCCTGGGCAACAGGACTGGCTGGGCAAGTGGAGCACGCTGCAGCTCTGCCTGGGGAAGGAGAGGAGGAAGTGCCGGAGCATGAAAGGAGGGTTTGTCTGAAAGCTCCCTAACATCTTCTGCCAACAGCTTGTTTGTATCAGCTCTGGGAGAACATGACCAGGAGAGCTGTGTTGTTCTTGTATAGGAGCTGGGTTCAGCTGGAGCAAACTTCACCTGTCCCTGCTGTGCTTGGCCTCCAGCAGGTGACTTACCAAGAGGCCTCCTCCACGCCATCCCTTCATCCCATCAGTGTCCCCAGGGAACAAGTGGTGGGGCTGGCCATAAGGGGCTGGAGAGGGCACCCTCCTCCTTGTCCTCAGTCCTCAGGGGACCCGGGGATGTCACCGTACCTGGGCTTGTACGTGTATTCAATCTACTCTTTGCACAGGGGTCAGTGACAACTGTCCCCTTTCAGTGCTCCAAGTCCCACTTTTCATCTCCAGTGGGTCAAGTCCTGGGCTTTGGAGCAAGCTAGGAGCAGTGACATGTCGTGTTACACAGTCAAAAAGTGATGGTCACTCTCTGGTTCAGTATGAGGCCTCACCTCAAGTACTGTGTTCCATTTTTGGCACCGCAGTACAGAAAGGACATGGAGGTGCTGGAGCAGGTCCAAAGAAGGACAACAAGGCTGGTGAAGGGCTTGGAGAATATGGCCTATGAGGAGAGACTGAAGGAACTGGGGCTGTTGAATCTGGGGAAAAGGAGGCTGAGGGGAGACATTATTGCTCTCTTCCAATATCTGGAAGGTGCTTACAGTGAGAGCGGGGCTGGTCTCTTCTCACTGGTGACAGGATGAGAGGAAATGGCCTCAAGTTGTGCCAGGGGAGGTTTAGGTTGGATATCAGGAAACACTTCTTTACAGAAAGGCTTGTTAAGCACTGGAATAGGCTGCCCAGGGAGGTGGTTGAGTCACCATCCCCGGATGTGTTTAAAAACCTTTCCAACGTGGTGCTCAGGGACATGATTTAGCGGAGGGTTGTTACTTAGGGTGGTATGGTTAGGTTGTGGTTGGACTTGATGATCTTTAAGGTCTTTTCCAACCTGAGCAATTCTATGATTCTATGATTCTATTTGTAAACAGAGGCCTGACAGACGCTTTGGGTGGGAGGCATGAGATTTATCGGGAAAAAGGAAGAGGAAAGCAAGAACCTTGAAGGCTTATGATCTGGCTGTGCAGCTGCGGTGACAGAGTGAACTCAAGATCAAAGGGAACGCACTGTTGCTCTCCAACACCTCGCCTAGACCAGGGATTAGACCCAATATTAGTTATCAGGCAGTATAAAAAGCACAAACATGCCCTTTGCTCCTTGGAAGATACGGAACCCAGAAGGATGCCAGATTTGATTTAGGAAAGCACATTTGCATGTGTTGGTTTCTTCAGCCCTGCACTGTTCCTCAGAACCCTCTGCTGCTCTGAGTGGAGACAGAGCAGGGCTGCAGACTACTGCTGCTGCAGGAGTGTAATTGCAATTGCTGCTTGGTGCTTCTGCTAATCTGTGAGACCTGCAGCAAGCACTCAAAGTGCAAACTGGGAGTGTTTTGGGGCAGAGATGCACTGCATAAAACAACCCCACAGGTCTGGAACAAACCTGCATGGAACCTTTTGGTGCTTCCATTTCACTGAAGGAAAGGAGGCCAGGCTGAAGCCCAGGCTTCTCACTAGGATTTCTGCTGCTTGGACAGAATCTCCAATACCTGGTTTTGCAGCAGGGTGTGCCCTGTGTGCTGAAGTCCCAGTGTGGTTCAGCTCTCAGCCCAGTCTCTGGCCAGAAGTGTATACCATCATTCTACAAAACCCATTAGCTCACCTTGTGTGTCCAAAGGGGTTTTTGGCTTCTGGGGCCGCAATGGGAAGGTGGCAGCAGTGAAGACCCATGTCATCCTCTGCAACAACCATGCTTCAGCACAGGCTCCCTCTAAAAGCCATGTACTGCAGAACAGATGGTACATCTGTTTCTATTTCCAGTATGATCTCACTAATCACTTTTTAAGAATCTAGCATTCAGAGCTAATCAACATGAGCTGAATTGCAGTAAATGTTCCTACAACAATGGAAAACCCTTTGCAACTGCCTTTTCCTAGGTTATCCCGTTGGGAAGCAGAGTTTATCCTCTGCCTGAATTTGGCCAGAAGCCCCATGATCCCTGCAAAGCCAGGGCCTCTCCCTGAAGAGCTTCTGCCTCATCTAGGTACTTGTCTGTTTGACAAAGTGGAGCTGACTTTCCAGTTCAGTAGTCAAACCAACAGCTAAACACTCACTTTATGGGTCAACCCCAATCCTCACAGCGATGGAGGGGAGAATCCCCAAGGAGACCTTGCCATGAGCACAAGGCTTATGAAAAAAAGCCATTGTCCTCTATAATCCACGATGTACAGCATAAGCTCAAAGCTCAAAGTTCAAAACCCTCCTGTTTGTGATACAGAAAAAGATTTTTAAAGACGACTCCTGGAAGCAGTATCATGCCCAGCATGCCAGGCAGCCCAGAGACACATCAGATAGCTGAACTCCTCAGGTGACTCAAGGGTCCTTGCCCTTGATGTCCCCATTGTAATGGATGTGCCTGGGCTGTCCTCTGGAGACGGACAAGTGCAGGAGCATTGCTCTAAGCATAGCTACTCCCAGGACAGCTTTCAAAGGCCCATGGGCAAGCTCTGCCTCCCTGCCAAATGGTGCACTGGCTGTCCATCTGTCCACCAGCTCTCCTCAATGCTTACATGCTTCAGCCCAAGGCATGCAGCACCCTGACCTTGTTACACTGCAGAAACCCAACACTGATGAATTACGGCATTACTGTCATTATTTCAGGCATTAGGACCTAAGAAAAAGAAAGAAACAAACAAACAAAAAAA